CACTTGACTCTGCTCAGAAATCTGTCAGAACTCAGCCAACCAGAGGTGAAGCAGCAGCTAGTTGCCAGGTGTCTCTGTGCTTAGCACTGTTGCCTCCAGTGTGGTCTTTTTCAACAAAGAAGTGTTTGTGGTGAAATATAAATGCTAACAGTCAACTCAGAATCATGAACAAACTCTGATTTGAACGCTCATAAGTTACTTAAGGCCCGATTTTTAAAAATAGATTTTTCATCAACCATTTATCGGTACCCTAACTTGAGCAGGTGTTTTTCAGGGTTTCCCACGAGAGTTGAACTTCAACATTTAAAGCATGTTATTACACCTTTACAAACATATTGGTGAAGAAGTTGTTTGGTAACGATTTAGTTGCCAGATTTTGATATTTTTCCCTTACTATTAGCTTGTTTCGGCTAATACCAAACGTGGCCAAAAACACAAAGAGAGCCACCGTTAATAGTGAAGTTATTTTTCATCAACCCTGAGGAGCGCACACACTGGTGCGGGACGCCGTCTGCCTACTGACAGAACCACCCCTGTGTGCCGGCGTTGGAAGCTGCTGATGGGCCTCCAACACTGCGCCTCTGAGAGCTCCACGGCAGAACCTGTTGCCAGGCAACTTCACAACGATTCAAGAGGAAACAGCCTGGATTCATGGTGAAAAGTGCCGGCTTAACAACAGATGTTCCAGCCAAAGGAAACTCCGTTCCCATCAGCTCTGCACCAAGTAGATAAACCCAGCCTTTCTATCTGGTCCAGATCGGGTTGATGTTATGACAATTCACCAACTCATATGCGTATCGATCGTGAACCAAATTATTAATCACTATCGTTCACATTCACTACACGCACTCCAATTTCATTGTTTATAGTTCATGTGTATTACATTCGTAGGATAGTTAAAAAGAAACGCTTCTGTTTTTGACCAATTATAGGTTTTGTGTCTGTGATGTTGCTCGACAGTACCTCCTGCCTTTTATAAGGTGCGCTTTTATTTTGACAGTCCTTGTTTTTTATTGGTTATCACAGTCATGTGATTAGGTTCTCAGATCAGGGCAGCCAGCTTGTCTCTTTCTGGGTGACAATGTCCCTATGCCTTACAATCCATTGCATCCGTCGCTGTTGAGCCTTGGAGAAGCTTTGTTTGTAAGTTTATATTATACATCATATTTGTATAATTCATATTTTTCAAATAGTGTGATGGTTTATTTCATGTTTGGTAAGATTTATAAGTAAATGCTAAAATTCATATTTTTCTTGTATGTAACATAGTCACTCATTTATAACACCACAAAGAAGATTGTTTCTGGCATTGTTACGGTGACTAAGATCTGCAGTAAACGGACCTCAACTTGCTACACGTCTCAGTCATCTTTCACTTTTCCAGCAACAAAGTGTTGAGCTATCTGTCACTCCGTGAAGTCAAGCACGCAGGGGACAGAATAGTGTCGTTCTTTGTGTGGGAACTGAGGTCAATTTAATCAGAACTTACGAGTTTCAGATAACAGGTTGATTAAGTCAATTTATACTGAAATCTCTTTGAGATTTCATTTAAAATAATTCCTCAGTAAACTGAAGTGGTGCCCCTAAATTAATGAGTGCAACTGAACTACAAAGTGTCGTTCCACTACACACTACACTGATGACTACTAATCTTCAGAAGCTTTCTAAAGAAGAGCAAAGGAAAAACTATAACCTGACCAAGTTTGATGCCTGAGTTGAATCGAACAGAACATCTTGGAGATGTTTTAAAGAGAAAGGCAGAGCCGAAGTAAAGAGCAGCTCAAAAAAAATGTCTCAGAAGAATGGTAGAAGAACTTTCCAGAACATGGACATCAAAATAAAGGACATACACTATCTATCTATCTATCTATCTATCTATCTATCTATCTATCTATCTATCTATCTATCTATCTATCTATCTATAAAATGACTTGAACATCAGTAATGAAAGGTGTAGCTATATTTGTTGCATTAATTTCTGTATTTTTAATATAGTAAATTTAAGCTAAATTTGACAGAAGAACGAGGCAAAACCCTGCTGTTCAATTTAGGAGTAATGCGATTGCTGTAAGATTATACAATTTTGTTTTATACAATTTTTTGAATCATTAAGCAATTAAATGATATTGTACAGGGAAGTACTCGTGTCTGCTGTATGTTGTATGTGGTGTCACTATTTCCAAGGCCAGCCTTCTTCTTACTAGTGAGAAGAGCACAGACATACACCTGAACAGGCACTTAAGTGAACAGAAGTTTGCTGCAAAATGAATGTAATGTATTTATACCAAACTAGCAGAAGCTGAACTGCTACAGTTACTGTGACTGGTAATAATTCTGTCCCCTCACTTTTACCTATATGGTCCCCAGTAGGTCTCCGGTGACCCTCAAGTTAGCTGCATGAATCATTGCACACAGCCTCCAACCAAAGCAAAGATGATTTAAACCTTTTAGAATAGATGTATTAATAATTCAGGCAGTCCAAGAGTTTAGCAGTGCAAATGAAATACGATGATTATTTAATAGTGTATAACTATATAGGCCTCATGACATATTTAAAGGCAGTAAATTATTAAATTCTCACCTTCACGGTTTGTCCAGCTTCAGGGCCATCCTAGTGGGAAAAGAAAGAGGTAATTAGAAAAGAGCCCTTAATTCAAATTCAAATTCAAATTCAGATGTGGTACAGCATCCCCAAATCCAAGCCAAATGCTTGTATCGTTACATTTTTTATTGTAACACTCTTCTCTTAATGACTAATTTTAATGGCATTTTTCTTCCAGAAGAGAAGAAAACTAAAATATTTTTTAGATTCATCTATGTTAAGAAAACTATACAATGTGTTATGCACACAATATTTTTCAATGTTTGGATACATTAACTAAATGGGGGGTGAGAGGGCGATTATGTCTACTGCAACATCACAGACTGGGGAGTTTTTGCTGAGGGGACAGACCTGGAAGGAAACACATCAGCTGTGCTGGACTACATCACCCTGAGGGTGTGACAGAGACCAAGACTGTTAAATTGCTGCCCAACCAGAAGCTGTGGTTCCCTCCTCAGAATGTGTGACTCCACTTTCAGATTGGGGGACCAGCAGGCCTATAAGACTGCGAGGAGCAACCTGAGGAGGGGCATCACTGAGGCCAAGCAGAAATACCAGCAGAACATTCAGGAGCACTTTATCCCCTACCACATTCTCTTGACTAAAATTTGTGACTCTAACACACATTAAACATCACTGTGGTGAGTGAATAAACAAAGAAATAAGAACAGATGAGCTCCATTGTTATTCATCAGCAGTCCTAAAGGAAAAGTAGATATTTGTGTCACCATCTGCAAATCTTTTTTTCACCACCAATCCTCTAGTGAGTAGATTTGCTGGATATTATTATTTGTCACCGGAGTGGCGTACTGCAGAGAAAAGTTGGCCCCTCCTGCAGAGAGTTCTCCTTTAATGTGGTGGCTGTAACCGGTGAGCTGTTACAACTAATCTCTTATCATCACTTCTCATCACCTTCACAGTCAAAGAAAATGATACCAAGGTAAAAATTTCTCTCTGCTGTTTTTTTTTTCTTCTCTCTCCTGACTTGTAAACATTTTTTCTGACAAGAAAGCAGATTGAGCTAGGTGCTATTTTGATATTAGCATATATATCACGAGTTGCTCAGAACAGGCCATCCAGTCTGTGATGAACACCTACCACTGTGTCAGAGTCAGCTCTGTATTTAGCTTCCATCGCATGATAGCATCGCTGATTCACACTGAAACCACCGACACCTCATTCTACTTTGCTGCTATAAGTTTAAAACCATTTGGACTTTTCGTAAATTCTAAAAATAAAATGTTCTTCACATTTTCCAGAATATTATACTTTTCATTTCAATGTCTTCTCTATTCTACTGATCTACTGCGTTCTGTTTTCATCCTCTCACCATTTTGAATTCCCTATAGATTTTCTTTAGATGTGACTGAAATGTATGTTACCACACAGTGGTATGGCAGTATTCCTATGTGTCTTCACTTCAGCTGAAAAAAAGTTCAGACCTAGCACTTAGTTATGTAATGTCTGATATTTCTTTCTGTCGATTTCATCACAATTTAGTCTTGTATATTTTGGAGTGATTACACCTGGAATATAAAATAAAGTTCATTAGGTTTAAACAACGATTCACTGCAGATACAATTTGTTGTAGTTTTCACTTCTGTAAATACTTGTTGTGGATTGATACCTCTGTAGAGTTACTTAACCTGCTGCTATGTTTACTGTAAATAAAGCAATTTAGTAATGGTGACATTTTCATTGGATTTAGAGTGGGCCTGTAATTCAATGTAGAATTTGATATATGCACCCATGTTATAACAGAAGCCAAGATTAGCTTGCTAGTTTACTCTAGCTAACATGGTTAACTAACATCAGTTGATCTTTTTTTTTTTTTTTTGTGGAGAAACTACTAACATTAGGTAACCAGCAGACTTTAATTTCATTTTATTTGATGCACCTTTTCTTTTTTGTGGTGTCTTGATATCTACAAAGCACATCAAAAAGCAAAATTTCTGCCCATGATGAGCTATGGACTGACAGCTCTGATAAAGTACCATTGTCAGCCCTCTTTCTGTCAGCCAATCCAATGCCAGCATACCTAAAGTGATTATCCTGACGACACTCTCTGGGATGGCACATTGGAATTTTTCTCATGTGACTTTAAAAATAATGCTATGACTGGCTTAAATGATATATATAGAATTTCGGAACAGTCACGAAGTCAGATTTTTACCTGGATAGCAATGGTGAGTGAGGTAGCATTGAAGTGTTTCTCCACCAGTTTGGCGACCCTCTGAGTGGTGCTGAATAAATCTGTCAGCTCATCTGGCTGAAGATCCTGAAATCGCTCCACTGGTCTGAGAGGGCACACCAACACATCTGAACAAGCTCTGTTAAGGAATTGTGGGCTGTGGACATGTTCAAATATTTCTAATCCTGAAAAAAAAAGGTCGTTAATTCACTCATCTCCTACAAAAGATCTTGATGAGTCTAAAAATTATGACTGTAATCCTAAATCTGTATCTGGTAACAGATGAGAGTAACAGATCCTTTACATCTTGCAAGTTGAAAGATTTGTTCTGGCACATTACTCTACACCAAAGAATTAAAAAATGTAGCAACTGGTAAGCAAAATTTTAAATGAAACCATTCTGGCTTGCTTGAATTAGAGGAACAAAAAATAGGTGAAAATGATGACAGTAGGGTTCATCCTCTGAGCACCATGTCCCAGAGAGGGTAGGGAGGCCAAAACATGATGAGTTAAGCAAATAAGTTCGTTCCTTGTCATAGACTATGCTGTATTGGGACAATCAGTCAACCAGAGGTTCCCATGCTTTTGAAAGGCTTACAGATTGTATATGATGAAGATCTTTCAGGGAGACCAATTCCACCCCAGGGGTGCTCTCCGATGGGGTGGAAGGGGCCGGAACACACAGGCAGTACTTGGCTGCTGATGCCAGTTTAGGATAGCGATCACACTTCTGTTTCCACCACCGGTGGCAGCACCGCTTCCTGGCCGTCACCACCATCCATATTTACTTCCGTAAACACTGAGCACGCTCGCTGCGTATAATGTCGTTGTGTCCTCTTCTGCGCATGTGGGACACTTTTGGGTTGTATGAAGTTTACACAGCAGATCACATACAAGTGGTATTTAATTGGAAATGTAAACAAACTCACAAAACAACTAATTTCACAAAAAAATCTGAATTGAGCATTAAGTTCTGCAGTCTAAACATACTAATACTGGGATGCATCTGAAAGGATTACGTTTTAAATCCCATTAAACCATGGCTTAATGTTGCACCAAAAATTTAAAATAGCGGCTGTGGCTCAGGCGGTAGAGCGGGTTGTCCTCCAGTCACAAGGTTGGCGGTTCAAACCCCTGCCCCTCCACAGTCGAAGTGTACTTGAGCAAGACACTGAACCCAGACTTGCTCCTAATGGCAGGCAGCACCTTGCATGGCAGCTCTGGTGTATGAATGTGTGTGAATGGGTGAATGAGAAACATATTGTAAAAGCACTTTGGATATAAGTGCTATATAAGTGACCATTTAAAAGAAAGACGAAATTACAACCTCACTTTACACCTAAGTAGTTAGTCAGTTTTTACTCCAAATCTAATTAAATTAAAAGAAATGTAATAATTCAAGTTCCATCCATCCATCCATCCATCCATCCATCCATCCATCCATCCATCCATCCATTATCTTCCGCTTATCCGGAGTTGGGTCATGGGGGCAGTAGGCGGAGCAGGTCATTCCAGACTTCCCTATCCCCGCTTTCCAGCTCTTCCAGGTGGATCCCGAGGCGTTCCCAGGCCAGCCGAGAGATATAATCCCTCCAGCAGGTTCTAGGTCTCCTCCCGGGTGGACGTGTTCAGAAGACCTCCAGAGGAAGCCTCTCAGGAAGCATCCGAATCAGATGTCTACACCACCTCAACTGGCTCCTTTTGATGCGAAAGAGCAGCAGCTCTAGTCCGAACTCCCTCCAGATGTCCGAGCTCCTCACCCTATATCTAAGGCTGAGCCCAGCCACCCTGCGGAGGAAGCTCATTTCGGCTGCTTGTATCCACGATCTCGTTCTTTCGGTCATGACCCAAAGCTTGTGACCATAGGTGAGGGTTGGGACCTAGATGGACTGGTAAATCGAGAGCTTCGCCTTGCAGCTCAGCTCTCTCTTCACCACAACGGACCAGTAGAGCACCTGCATTACTGCTGACACTGCACCGAGCCGCCTGTCTATCTCACGCTTAATTTTCCCATCACTCACGAACCAGATCTGCCACTCGACAGACACCGTACCCAATGCCCACGCGACATTGAAGAGACGTGTCAGCCATGACAGTCCGACAATGTCCAGAGCCTTCAGCATCTCAGGGCGAATCTTGTCCACAACTAGCGCTTTGCCACTGAGGAGCTTCTTAACTACCCCTCAGCAGAGGACATGTGTACCGGGTTCAGGAGTTCCGCGAAGTGCTCCTTCCACTGCTCGACGAGCTCCCCAGTCTGGGTCAGCAGTTCTCCTCCCCGACTGTACACAGCCTGGGCGAATCCCTGCCTCCCCTTTCTGAGACGTCGGACAGTTTGCCAGAACTTCTTCGAGGCTGACCGAAAGTCCTTCTCCATTATTCTCTGAACTCCTCCCACACCCGAGTTTTAGCTTCCACGACCGCCGCAGCTGCAGCCCTTTTGGCTAACCGGTACCTGCCTGCTGCTTCAGGAGTCCCCCGAGCCAGCCAGGCTGGAAAGGTTTCCTTCTTCAGCCTGATGGCGTCCCTCACCTCCGGTGTCCACCAGCGGGTTAGGGGTTGACGCCACGACAGGTACCAGTAACCTTCTGGCCACAGCTCCTAATGGCTGCTTCTGCAATGGAGGCTTTGAACATGGCCCACTCTGACTCCATGTCCCCAACCTCCTCTGGGATGCAGGAGAAACTCTTCCAGAGGTGGGAATGGAAAACCCCACGGACAGGGGCCTCCGCCAGACGTTCCCAGTTCACTCTCACTAAGCGTTTGGGTTTTCCAGGTCTGTCTGGCAGACTTCCCCGCCATCAGATCCAACTCACCACCAGGTGGTGATCAGTTGACAGCTCTGCTCCTCTCTTCACCCAAGTGTCCAAAAAATACGGCCGCAGATCTGATGATGCAACTACGAAGTCGATCATCGACCTTTGGCCTAAGGTACACTGGTACCAAGTACACGTATGAGCAACCTTATGCTTGAACATGGTGTTTGTTATGGCCAATGGGTGGCTAGCACAGAAGTCCAAAAACAAAACACCACTCAGGTTCAGATCAGGCAGCCCATTCCTCCCAATCACGCCCCTCCAGGTTTCACCGTCATTGCCCACGTGAGCATTGAAGTCCCCCAGGAGAACTATGGAGTCCCCAGGGGGCAAGTTCCTTGAAGAAAATTAAGGAAAAACATAGTTCAGCTTAATGCCGTTGCTAAATTTAAAGTTTTCTCTCTTCATTTATATCTGTTATACTCACTAAGTTGTAAAAGCACAAATTTTGGGGGGATTTACTAAACAGAAATTAGTTTCAAATAGTGCAACACAGCTGTGTAATTTTAAATCTAAATATTTTTTCTACAAGCCTGGTAAGAACTAATCTGAGTTAAATTAATCTTGTTAATAAAACCCAATCCAAGTGAATAATATTTGCAGACAGAGAAGATAGAACTTCATTTCAGATTAAATTTGATTTCGTCCATAGATCAAAGGCATGCAAGATTGTGTTAAAATGCTAACATTGTGAAGAGACACTATCAAGGCAATAAGCAAAAAAAGTGAAAGAGAAATTGGAGTTTATTCCCCTCACATGAAACAGCATCCTGTCGAGAAAAGATGATTACATCTTTGCATTTCATGCCACAGTGGCCTTGTCTGGGAACCATTTATCTCAAGAGTCACAAACAGTGGCACAAATGATCGGCTTGGTCTTCTGTCTCTCTATCTCTCTGTGTATGCATGTGTGCAAGCCAAAATCAGAAATCAGATATCACATGAGCTGATATCTTTCCTCTATGCTCCTGTGGTGATGGTGCTTGCCCACATGAAAGATGAGGCCAGCTGAGGCTGGTACACACAGCCAGTACTTGTTGACTTTACTTTACTATTGCTGGATAAATAATGTCTCTCTGCAAGTGCATTAACTGAAACAAGTTATCCACGACTTTATGGCCTTTTTGATGTGTGTACAGAGAGCACAGGCCTCAGTAGTGTTTCAAAGCACCTCTGCTGCATTTATTAAAACATAAACGCATACAGAATTTTTTTTACATGCAATGCAAATGTTTACATTGAAATATTTGAAGGCATATTCTTAAAACTAAGTTTAGCATTGTCTTTTGACATTGTAGGGCATACATTTTACACTAACCTTTCAGCATGTTGTAATCAGTGTTCTGAGAAAAAGCTAGACTTGTGCACTTTCTCTTCGCTCTGTTTTCCAGCTTTAGAAAATCTAGCCTGTGATGGGAGAATTTGTCCAATCACAGGGCTTTTTTACCCGGAGCAAATGCGACGTTATAAAGAACAACAAGTAAGGCACTTTGAAGTACTGGAATTTCACTCAGGAGAGTGGGGTTTGAAGGTGAAATCACAAGGGAATGTTATCTTTTACCTGACAATCTTTGCATGTTAAAAGTGTGTGTGTGTTGCTGTGGTGGGAGGGGCTTGTAATGGACAGGGAGGAGGGCTGAATAATTTCTTGAAATCCATTCAACTGCAATGGCAGCTTTTATAGGATAGCCTGTCACAATAGCTGGAGATTGCATATAAACTGATGTGAGTTTGACAGTATTTAACTAAATGTGGATCAGATCTAACAGGATGTGAAAGGTTCTGTGACTATCTGCACTGAGAGCTGCTGGAAAATGCCCCACTTTGAGACCGTTTTTAACTCTGTCAATGCTTCTACCACCCACTCTCATCAGCTTTTCAGATAAGGCACACTACATTTCCAATGAGCCTGCTGACACTTTTATTCTGGTTGTCATTCACCCACAATGCAATTTAAATGCAGAGTGTTAGTTTGAAAATTCAAGTGTGTTGTGCCTGTTTTTACGAGCAGTTTACAGGTACTGGTAATCTAATTTATTTCAATCTCTACACCACTGTGTTCTTAGTTTTTGCTTTTTGATTTTTCAAGCCAGGTCACCAATTTATTGTATTGTATTCATTTATTTATTTATTTTTTAAATTTTTTTATTATAATATATTTTACCATATTTATATTTCTCATTTAAATCAACAGCTGTTGCACCTATGTACTTTACAGTAACAAAATAAGTTGTACAAAATAATAACCAATTTGAGGACTCCCTGGATTTTCCATCAGCAACCTCTGATTTAGGTTTTGTTTTTATGTGTTT